ACTCCTATCAATGTGAATGTTAATATGTCAATGTGAATATTCACATTGTCAACGGGCCGGGTCGGTCCTGCCCTAGGCCGCTGGTCAATTTTATGCTCTTATCAATATCAATGTGAATGTTAACATGTCAATGTGAATATTCACATTGTCAACGGGCCGGGCCGGGCTGGGCCCGCCCTGGGTTGCTGGCCAATTTTATACTTTTATCAATGTGAATGCTAACATGTCAATGTGAATATTCATATTGTCAACAGGTCGGGCCGAGCTCGCCCTGGGCCACCCATGGGTCGTGGGCAGGTTTCGGGCAGTCACGAGACACGAGCTAATTTTACACTCCTATCAATGTGAATGTTAACATGTCGATGTGAATATTCACATTGTCAACGGGACGGGCCGAGCCTGCCCCGGGCCGTGGGTGGGTTTTTGGCCGCCTATGGGCCGCGACCAATTTTATACTCTTATCAATGTGAATGTTAATATGTCAATGTGAATATTCACATTGTCAACGGGCCGGACCGGGCCCGCCCCGGGCCTTCCATGGGCTGCGGGCGAGTTTCGCGCCACCACGGAATGCGGGCCAATTTTACACTCCTATTAATGTGAATGTTAACATGTCAATGTGAATATTCACATTGTTCATGGGCCGGGCCCGTCCTGGCCCGACTCGAATTTTTTTGGGCACCCACGAGGATTGACATGGGCCGGGCCCCTACACATTGACGATATGAACATTCACATTGACGGTGTGAACATTCACATTAGGGATATTTTGGTAATTATGTCACCCATAGGACTTATTGAAACATAAAAAAATAATATGAACTAAATGGAACATAAGTAGATGAAAAGGGTATTTTGGTCTTCTTATCTCAAATAGGACCTAATGGAATAGTCAAAAAGAATATGGGTTGGATGGAATAAAACTCTTAGAAAGTGGATTTATCAAAAAAGCTCCCATAAATAAAATGCAAAGTTGATATATGTATTGCGTGTGCGGCCGCTTCCAACTTCTAATTGAGATACAATACAAGTATTTCCTAATAAATCCCTCAAATAAAAATTAACATTTTGTACTAATGACTTTTTTAATTATATTTTGTGATTTTTTAATATTTTAACCTAAAAATTAAAAGGAGAATTACAGTATAATAGTGATTTAAAAAAATATGGGTTAATTGTAAAAAAAAAATTCAGGATTTCTTGTGTTTTTCAATTTAAACTCTAGAGTTTCAATTTTAACAAATTAAACTTTGGAATTTCATGCATGTTTCAATATGAACCCTCCGTTCATATCCGTCTCACTTCATATTCTTTCTTTTTCATATTCAAATTCACATGTTCAAATCGTTGTATATCCCTCATCTTAATTTCGTTTCATCTCATTTTCGCGTCGTTGGATTCACCTCATAGTCTAGTTTTCATTCTACCCTTATATGCCTCATTGCACCTCTTTTTGCATGCCATCGAAGTTTTGAAAGTTGGTCAAAAATAAAATTTCTCTTTTTTTCTCTTCTTCCTCCTTTTCCAAGGCTCTTCCTTATGGCTTGCTGCTGCTGTTGCTTCTTCATCATCATTATCTGGAAGATGAGGTGGTGGTGGTAATGGTGGTGGTGTTATCAAGTGGTGATAGGTATACAACTACCCACAAAAGTCAAAACCAAATGAGTCAGTGAACATGTCAGGGTGTCTTGATTTTCCAATCAAGCATCATCCATTTCTTTTCCACTGTCAAGAATATTGTTGTGATAGCAGCAAGTAAAAAAAAAAGAAAAAAAATCTTATTTTTAGCCTACCTTCAGAGTTCCGACGGTATGCAAAAAGATGTGGAATAAGAATTATGAGGGGTGAAATGAAAACTAGTCATGAGGTGAATCTAATGACATGAAAATGAAGCAAAATTGAATTACGATAAGGGAGATATAAAGATTTGAACATATGAGTTTGAATATGAATGAAAGAAGAAGATGAAGTGAGACAGAGATAGACGGAGATTGAAACATAGATGAAACTTTGGGATTTAATTTGTCGAAATTGAAACTCTAGGGTTTAAATTGAAAAATATGCGAAATTGTGAGATTTTTTTTTTTTGTAATTAATCCAAAAAATATTTATAAATACATAAAAAAATTTGAGCCATGATAGAGACCCCTTCCATTCACCACCCCCACAATCCCCACAGACACGTGGCGGGTGGTGATTGGAGGAGTAGGAAAAAAAGAAAATGTAACCAATGAGAGAGAGAGAGGGGATCAAAGGGGGTGGGGAAAAAGGGGCATGAAACATTTTTGAAAAAATAATTTCCCTAAAATTAAATTGCTTTATTTATTAAAAAAAAAAAAAAAAACGTGAAAGAAGGTGGTAGGGATAAGTCACGCATAGCACGACTGCATAAGATCAGCACCCAATCAGTTCACCAACTACCAAACATTCTCAAATCCCACAATCTCACTAAAAAGTTGTTGGAGATTAGGTCTGTCGTCTCAATCTCTCTCATCTCCACCTTCATTCTCTCTCTACATTACCATATATATATACACATACATTATACATACATGACATACATGCAAGAACTCAAAATGACTTTCTTCAATTCAATACTCGAGCGGTTCGTCTCGCGGTGGCCTCTTCTCCTCTACGCCGCCACGTGGACCGCGATCCTCACGATGACGGTGGCGGTGGCGTCGTTCTCCCCAGAGGCGGCGTTCGTGTCGGCGATCACTCCAACCTCCGCCTTCTCGCGGCGGTGCGAGGCGGCGGCGGAGGGATTCGTGAGGCTTCCGATGGATGTTCCGACGGAGTTTCTGTGCTTTCCGGCTCACATGTTCCGGCGGTCTAAGATGGACCTGGTGGTTCCGCCGGTCTTCGCGGCGGTGATCGTCGCTTGCTCCGCTTACGTGGTCCGAGCCTTAGGGTTGTGGGAGGTGGATGATGAGAGTCGTTAAAGACTTGGAAGCGTAAAGTTGTCAATCTCACAGTCACCGTTTGTTTTCTTTCTCAATGTTCACGATTTTAGAAGATGAGTTTTTTATTTTATTTTATTTTAGAAATAGAAATCTTTGAGGGTTGTAAATGAGTTAAATAATTACATTTGTGTGAATTTTGGAATGAAAATTGCCTACTCCCTTAGCCTATGTTTTATTAACCTGGAAGTTTTGTTTTTTGTGAACACTTTGTAGAGAGCTGATAAAACTAATCGAATATGTTTTCATTTTTGTTATTTTATTTATTTGAGATACATTAGAGAATCTCCCATCCTCTATATATTTCATTAAAGTCAAGTAAAAATTTAAGGAGTTTAATCTGATACAACATACTCCAATCCTTTTATCAAATCTAATCGGTCTTTCGTTTAGAGGAAATTTTCTTCAAATTTATTCAAAAATCGATTGTCTCAGAGTACCTTCAACTCAACAGTCATCAACAGATTTGATGAAAAGATAAGAGCTCCCTTCATTTGATGAAAAAAAAATACCACTTCTTTCTTTTGATACCAAACTAATGAAATGGGTGGAGTATCGTTTTCATCAATTTTTCATCAAATTTAAATTTGATGAAAGATCTGATAAAATATTAGAGATGATCTTATGAGAGGGGAGTTTAAACTATTCAAGTCTCGTTTAGGCTACAACTTTTTGTCTAAAATAGTTTATAAAGACCAAAAAGATGATTAAAATAACTAATAAGATACTGTCACATCTAAATCATAATCACTTTATTTTTCTCTCTCAGAATCATTAATTCAATTAAAAAAATCAAAAATCATTTCAAACACAATTTTTTTAGCTAAGTTGAAATAGCGATATAGTTAAAAATCTAAGCTAATAGCCCATACCAAGGGAGCACTCAATATACAAAACACTTTTTAAACTTATTTTTTAATCTAATAATATATAAGTGATATGATTGGTTAATGATTAGAAAAGATACGAGAGAGAGTTACTTTAGATATTCTAATTGATTGCCACATTAGTGAGTTTGAAAAAGGAAAATTTGGCTATAAACTCCCTTTACCTTCATTTCATTGTTAAAAGGACTAAGAAAAAAATTATACTTTGTAAATCCCCTCATAATTATAAAATCTTACGTAAAGGACAAAATTTATTATTTAAATATTTTATTAGACTATTATACCCTCAACTAAATTTTCTCACATTCTCCACCCACTCCTCTCTCCACCTTCTCTGTCTTTCTCCTCTCTCTCTCCCTTCTCTAACTTCTTCAAGCTTTAGATCTGGAAGCTTCAGACCTCGCCAACGCCGTCGGCATCATCGTCATCACTCTCCTAGCCAAGTCCGGTCAGTTATCAGGCGAAACTCTGGCGATCAACAATGCCGAAACCGATCTCTACGATGAACTCATCAAGAACATCAAGAATGAAATCAACTACGGGCCGAAAAATTGTCCTCTGGTGCCGGAATTGAAAGAGATTGTCTACGAGGAGAAACAAATCATCTCTGAATTGATCGTTGTTACTCCAAAGAGCAATGAATTGATCGCTTAGTTTTAAATATATGTATATATATATTTGTGTGTATGAGTGTTGTTGAACACATGTATTCTTTTCATTGAGATTTGTAATTGTTGATCGAGTTTTAGAAGTTTTTCTTCTCAATTAGATATGTTGATTTGTTGATTAGTTTGTTTTGTTTTTGTTTATTTGTTTGTTTTTTTTTTTGATTTATTTTTGTTGTTTTTGATCTAATTTCATTTGACAGAACCAGAGTAAAATTTTACTTTGGTTCTATTGCTCTGTTTTTTGTTTCAGATAATAAGAGTAAAATTTTACTCTTTTTCTATTGCTCTGTTTTTTGTTTGAGAGAATTAGAGTAAAATTTCACTCTGGTGTTAGAATGACAGTAAAATTTTACTATCAAAAGGTGGTCATTGCCAAGCACTTCAGCCGTTACAAACACTGCCTTCGTTTTTTTACTTTTGTGTAGAGTAACATTTTAATTTTAGCTTCAGAGTCTCACAGTTTACTCGTTTTTCAGAGTAAAATTTTACTTTTGTACAGAGTAAAATTTTACTTTTGTGTAGAGTTTAACATTTTACTAGTTTTTCAGAGTAAAATTTTACTTTTTTACAGAGTAAAATTTTATTTTTAGCTTCAGAGTCTCACAGTTTACTCGTTTTTCAGAGTAAAATTTTACTTTTATATAGAGTGAGTTGGTTGAGAAGCTATGTTTGAAATGAGATAATTTGCAATTTGATAATATTTGTCTATCTTACTCATTGCCTGGACATCCTAATTGTACGTTGGACAACAATGAGGAGTTAGATTTGTTGTTGGCATTAGTTGTGCATTTTGATTCAAAGTGTATTGATGTTGTTGTGCGAGTAAAAGACTCAACCATTGACTGTGGTTATCTCAACAACAGATTGGATTATGGAGAAAGAGAGTCAATGTTGGATGTTGAAGTTTGTGATATTGCATTGTCTCATGACAGCAGTAAGTTTGTGAACTTGTCAAATAGAGCATCTACATCCTCCAAAAGGAATTCGAGGTTGGAGGTTGAAGAAGAGGTTGATATGTTATCATCATTTTGTCGACACAAGGGAAAAGTACTGTTGTCTGCTGGTTGGGCAGTTAGTATTACACATGTAGGACAAAAATTTGAAGGTGGAATTGTTGAATTTCGTAATGCATTGTCGAAGTTTTCTATTGAGTGTAGATTTGAGTTCATATTTGTTAAGAATGATAAAGTTCGTGTTATTGCACAATGTTTGTTTAGAGAGGCAAAAGGTTGTATGTGGAATGTTCATGGTAGAGTGGAGAATGCTAATGGGTTCTTTTATATAAGGAAGTTGAACAATGTCCACATATGTGGTGCTGAAGTACGTACGATGACTCATTCTCGTATGAGTTCTGATTTAGTTGCTGATTTGATTGTTGAAGATGTTCGTGATAATCCATTGACACGTCCAGTTCATGTTGTTCAGGATTTTAAGTTGGGGTATGGGCTGAGAGTTAGTTATCATCAAGCTTGGTTGGGGGTAGAGAAAGCAAAAGGTGAGATTTTTGGAGACTACTTAGCCTCTGTTTGGGAAGTGGGTTGGCTTTTTGGCTTTTTTAGCTATTTGAGCCTGGGCTTAAAAGCTTGGTTTGGGAAGGACTTTTTGGCTTTTTTGAGTTTTTTTGTGAGAGAAGAATGTAATGATTATGGGTTGGATGTGATGTTTTGTTTGTTATGACTAAAATAGCCTATTTTGTTTTTTGTGGCTAAAATAGCCAAAAAAGTCCAAACCATGGCTTCCCAAACGAAGCCTATTTGACCAGTTAAGATGGTATGTGGATGTTGCAAAGAGTTGCAATCCAGGGAGTTACATTGAGTTTAAGTGTGACGAAGATACTAAACGGTTTAAGAGATTATTTGTTTCTTTTCATGGTTCCATTAGTGGATTTGATTATTGTTGACCTCTCTTATTCCTTGATGGCACATTTTTGAAGGGAAGATTTAGAGGAAATTTACTTGCTGCTACAGGAAAAGATGGAAATCAAGGTATATAAGAAATTTGTTTTCTCTGTTCTGAAATTGAGAAAGTTTTCAGTTTAGAAATATGATTGAATGTTTTAAATTTTATATAATATTGTTGTTGTATATGCATTTTTTATTTTTTCAGTTATTCATTTTAGTGTTTGATATTTTGAATGTTAGAGTGTTACCATTTTCTAAGAATAATATAATATTTTCATTTTTTCTGTTTTGTACATGCAAGGTTCTTTCCTGTTTGTTTTGTAGTTGTTGGCTCAGAGAATCAAGATAATTGGCGCTGGTTTTTGGAGCATTTGAGTAGAATTGTTTTACCAAAACGAAATATTACATTTGTGTCAGATCATAACCTTGGATTAGTTGAAGTGTTGCCAAAGGTTTTCCCAATGGCTTTCCATGCTTATTGTTTATATCATTTGAAGATGAACTTGAGGCATTATTTGCGTGTTGTGTTTCATGGATTGAAAGAAAAGTTGATCACTTTGTTTAGGAAATATGCATATACTCCAACTGAAGAAACATTTCATCAATGTTTGGTTGAGTTAAAGATTGAAGGTGGGTCAAGAGTTGAAAAGTTTTTAGATGACATACCATATGATCATTGGAGTAATGCATATTTTCGAGGACAACACTTTGGAGAGATGTGGTCAAACGTAGCTGAATCTTTCAATTCGTGGATACGAGAGGAATGCCACTTGCCTTTCACAAAGTTGATTGATAGTGTAAGAATTAAGTTGATGAGGAAAATTGCTAAGAGGAGGGAACTTGTTAATAAATGGAATGGTTTGATTTGCCCTAAAATGGAGTCCAAGTTGCATGATGGTTTTAATACTTCGAGGCCATGGATTGTTAGTTCATTTGGAAATGATGTCTATGAGGTGCATTCACATCCATCTGTTTCAATTGACATTAGTGGACGAATATGTTCTTGTGGCGAGTGGCAGTTGAAAGGGTTTCCATGTACACATGCAGTTGGTGCTATACAAAAGAGTGGACATGATTTGAGTTTATTTGTTGATCAATACTTTTATGTTCAAAGTTATCGAGAGTCCTATTCTTTTCCCATATATCATGTTCCTTCAATTTGGAAACCAGATTGTAATGTTGATGGTGATAGTGAAGTTGTTCTTCTTCCTTTGTCTAAGAAGCAACCAGGAAGGGCAAATAAGAAGAGGATTCGTTCAAATGGTGAGAAAGTGAGGCAAATTAGTTGTAGTAGATGTGAGAAGGTTGGCAATCATAATAAGAAATCGTGTAAGGAGGCTTTGTGATTTTTTGTAGTTGTTTTGTGATTGTAAAAATTTCGTATTCATAAATTTCTTGAAGTAGCAGTTTGTGCTGTTGAGCGCTGAGTAATAATCTTAGTTTCAAATTTTAATTTTTGAAATTGTTTGTAAAAATATTGTTTGGTTGGCTTTCGGAAATAAATTTGACTGTTGAATATTTGTTTTGCAGATTATGTGAATACTGTATAAAAAGTGAACATATTCTCAGTTTAAGTTTTTAGTTCAAAATAGCTGATTTTGTGATAATAGTGTGAGGCTCTTGTTATGAATTGGAACTAGTTATAAATGTGATGAATTGAATGAATGTGAATTAATATTCTAAATAGATGTGGTCAATGCTTTATGTTTTGATTAAAGTAACAATGGACTGTAAGTGAAAATATTCTTTGTTTCGAATTTTAGTTTTTCAAATTGTCATAATATTGTGAGGCAGCAAATAAATTGTTGTGATAATATTGTTTGGTTGGCTTTGGGAAAGAAACTTGACTGTTGAATGTTTGTTTTGCAGATTATGTGAATACTGTATAAAAAGTGAACATATTCTCAGTTTAAGTTTTTAGTTCAAAATAGCTGATTTTGTGATAATAGTGTGAGGCTTTTGTTATAAATTGGAACTAGTTATAAATGTGATCAATTGAATGAATGTGAATTAATATTCTAAATAGATGTAGTCAATGCTTTATGTTTTGATTAAAGTAACAGTGGACTGTAAGTGAAAATATTCTTCGTTTCGAATTTTAGTTTTTCAAATTGTCATAATATTGTGAGGCAGCAAATAAATTGTTGTGATAATATTGTTGTTTGAAAATTGAGTGATCTGTATACAACTGAAAATATTCTTAGTTTTAAGGTTTCTAAGTTTGAAAATAAGTGATTGAAACAACAATAAGTTTGAAAATATTTTCAATTTTAGTTTTATGTAGTGTTTTGTGAGGCAACAAAACACTACATAAAAACTGAAAATATAAACAAAAATATCAACAAAGGCCTGATTGTGATGCAGTAAAGTCTTGTGTCCACTATTTTCACATGTAATACTATTTTCGCTTTTGCCATATAGTAGTGTGAGGAACAGGATAATAGAAACTGAGAATATGGACAAAAACATCAACAAAGCTCGGGTGCATATATCTTTGAGAATATGACAAAATATTCCATTACACATCATAGAAATTGTAATATGTTTGTTAGGTAATATGCTTGGAACTATTAACAAAAATATTAGTCATCGTATCAGAGTGTTACAAAAAAGAGTTCATTGAGTTACACATCAAAAAAGATTTCATTGAAGGTTGCAATCTTGACTCTACTTGACTTTGATTGATCTTTGTGGATCACTAAGGAACTCATGTACCATGTCTGCTCTGAGTCTTGTGGATGTGCCTGGTGGTAATGTGTTTGGAATTGGTTGATGCCTCACGTATTGTCTTATGATGTAGCAAACAATAATTCCACAGTCATTCCTACATAAATCATTTTTGACACAGTTAGGGAAAAAAGAAATTTTTTGAAAAAGATATTAAAATTTGTTAGTTAGAATAAATTAACATACGTCATTGCTTCTTGTTGAGGGGTGTCTTTGACTGATTCAATCTTGACAACAAGATTCCAGGCTTTTTCTACTTGACAAGGTGTATCCTTCATGTATTGATGGATGATTTTTTGTTGTAAAAAACATCAACATAAAGTATGTAATGATTTACATCTGATTATTGTAATGCTAGTCTGAAATTGTTCTTACCAGTTGATTTGCAACGCTGTAGTGCTTGTCCTTTCCTTTTCTTGGTCTCAAAGAGTTGAAATGTTTCCAAGTCCTCAAGTGTTTGTCGATAACAAGTAATGTCCAATGATTGAAATTGTGGATGGGGATATGGATGTATCGACATGGGAGGGATTCTTGCAAAGTATTTTTCAAAATCTTTTTCCTTTGTTCTGAAGTTTTCTTCTTTAACATTGACTGTTTTTTACAAAAAATATGTGAATATTCACAGTAATGGTGCGAACTCAATATTCATATGTCGATGAAAAGCAACAAAACATGATTAACTACGATTTGTCACTCAAATTGTTTTGAAATCTGAGTATATTCCCAGCAATGATACCAAAATCAAAATTTGAGAACATTCACAAGAATGATAACAAACACAATAAATCTACTTTGAAACCAAAATTAAACGGAAGATAAAGTATAGAATTGACATATGCACATTGATTGCTTACCCAATATAGACTTGACAATATGAAAGACTTGCCATTATGCTCTGCTCCATCACCAGAATTCTGTGCTTGTGGTTCTCTTTGAAGAATCTCAGCATATGCATCCATTGTCTATCAAATTGAAACACAAAAGTGATGTTAACAAATTAATGAGAAGTTTTTCAGTGTTAAAATATTACAAATATTATACGTACACAGCTGGAATGTCTGTCCCTTTTACCAAGTTCTTGATATCATTAATAAATACACAATTTTCATATCTTGCACCAAACCATATACAAGCACTACAAAACAATAAAAAAATGTGTTAATAATTAAGTCAGAATATTTTTAGAAAACAAAGCTATTTCTCAGTTTCATTTCATATATTTGTACTACATGAAAAATTGAAAGATTTATGTAAGAGTATACCTTGATTCTGTTTGCTTTTCTTTCCAAAGAATTTGCAGTTTATATTTATCTTCAGGAGGTAGCAATTGAGCCACAGCATACTTGTTTGAAATTGTCTCATCTTTGTATTCCTTCTCTTTCTCAACTTTAACTTTCTTGCCTCTATACTCATAATCTGACACCTCAATAGTCTTCCTTGCTTTAGCTTTGATATTTTTAATTATGGAATTCTGTAGATTTGTTTGTCTTGATTCTGTCAGATCATCGGCGTTTATTGCACAAACTTGTTGGGTTAAGTCATGGACTTCTTCCTCCAGTAACTGATTCTGCAACTGAGAATTTTGACAGTCTTTCACATTTGTATTTGTTTCACAATGTTTGGTTGCAAAATGTTGTCGCGTTATCTTATGGATCCCTTTCTGATGGACCTCTTTGTCCATAACTTCAGAATTTTCATGGACCTCTTTCTGATGGAGCTCTTTGTCCACCACTTCAGAATTTTCATGGACCTCTTTCTACAACACTTGAGAATTTTCATCGTTTATTGTATGGCCTTCATTCTTTGCATCTGTCCCAGATGTTTTACTGCACAAACTTCTTGGGTTATCTCATGGACCTCTTTTTCAACCAATTGGTTATGCAATCGAGAATTTTCATCTTTCAATTGTTGTATTTGTGCTGTGAGTAGCCTGTTATCCTCTTCAAGTTTATTTATGTAGATGGTCTTCACTGTGTTGTCTAGTTGCAAATTGTTGTTCTCAGTTTGAAGTTTCTCAAGTGTTTGTTGATGAATTTGTTCTTCTCCCTCAGGTGCATCATTGAGTATAATTTTGCAGAAGTCATTAAAGTCTTCATTTGCTGGCTTTTGTTCTTGGTGGCACACTTCAACATATTGACCATCTTCTTCTTCTTCTTCTTCTTCTTCTTCTTCTTCTTTTTCTTCTTCTTCTTCATCTTCTTCAGAATCTTCTTATTCTTTAGTATTTTCAGCATCTTGTTTTTGTTGTTCTTGTTCTTGTACTTCTTCTTCAACATTTTCTTGTTCTTCATTTTCAGCATCTTCTTTTTCTTCTTCTTCAGTGTCATCAAATTCTTCATCACTTTCCTCATTCAATTGAGCACTAGTTACCTGTAGGTCAACATACAATAGATATTAGTTTTTGAAATAATTGACGTTTAGGAAACTAAAAAGTTTCTCAGAAATAATTCAGTGTATAAAAATATGGATTTTTCCCAACTTGAATTGAAATTAAAATGAGATGAGGATGTGACCTGTCTTGTTGTCAGCTGATGTAGTGATATGACTTTCATACGTTTATGTAATTTGGCAAGATTCCACTTGATCACCCTTGGGCATGCTTTGCTAACTTCAGGGTGGATGATCGGTGTGTGCTCACATAACCAATACTACAAAGCAAATGTAAAGAATTTTTATCATTTGAATAAGAAGTAATACTATCTGTTATTAACAACAAACTAATAGAATAGAGTAAAGATGTACTTATGAAGAAAGCCATAACACATCTTGTGACTTTTGCTGGATTTTTGTGGTATTTTTCAATTGAAGACAACAGTGTGTTCCTTATTGCTTCTGCCTAATTGTATTTTCTCATTGAGTTTATGTCGTCTATGTAATTAAGAAATACCCATCCAACTGTTGTTCCTGATGTAGAGAAAAAAAGCTTCAAACAAGTATACATACACAACATCATTATCACATCTTCATTGTCTTCTTTCTTCTTTCCTTTCAATGCTTTTTGCAACAAGTTGGTGATGGTTGTGCTCGATAGCCTTTCAGTTTGTATGCATCTTCTTGTCAGAAATGATGATCTGCTTTTATTTCCATAACCAAGATGTATCGGCTCATCTCCACAAGATATACCGAAGATGGACTTGATGTCTTCTGTTGTTGGATTTACAGTTTCTGGTCTTAACTGGAAATAACCACTGCTGCCTGGCTAGTAAGTTTGAATTATTTTGAATGCAATGTCATCATATTTTCTGTATTGTTTACAATTCATCTTGTTTTTCAATATTGCATCAAACAATGCCCAAAATGGGGTTTTTTTTAAGCCATTAATATGCTCATTCTTGAGTTTGATGTGCTGTAATAGCTTCACTATTGTCACCATGTTTGATCTGAAAGTTTGTTCTTGTACTTTTTGTTCTTCTTTTTCAGCATCTTCTTTTTCAGCATCTTCTTGTTCTTCTTCTTTAGTATTTTCAGCATCTTCTTTTTGTTCTTCTTCAGTGTCATCAAGTTCTTCATCACTTTCCTCACTGAATTGAGCAGTAGTTACCTGTAGGTCAACATACGATAGATATTAGTTTTTGAAATAATTGAAGTTTAGGAAACTAAAAAGTTTCTCAATAATAATTCAGTGTATAAAAATAGGGATTTTTCCTAACTTGAAATTCAAATGAGATGAGGATGTGACATGTCTTGTTGTCAACTGATGTAGTGATATGACTTTCATACGTTTATGTAATTTGATAAGATTCCACTTGATCATCCTTGGGCATGCTTCGCTAAGTTCAGGGTGGATGATCAGGGTGGATGATCAGTGTGTGCTCACACAACCAATACTACAAAGCAAATGTAAAGAATTTTTGTCATTTGAATAAGAAATAATACTATTTGTTGTTAACAACAAACTAATAGAATAGAGTAAAGATGTACTTACTAAGAGAGCCATAACACATCCTGTGACTTTTGCTGGATTTTTGTGGTATTTTTCAATTGAAGACATCAGTATGTTCCTTATTGTTTCTGCCCAATTGTATTTTCTCATCGAGTTTACGTCTTTCATGTAATTAAGAAATACCCATCCAACTGTTGTTCCTGATATAGAGAAAAAAAGCTTCAAACAAGTAAACATACACAACATTCTTATCACATCTTCAGTGTCTTCTTTCTTCTTGCCTTTCAATGCTTTTTGCAACAAGTCTATGATGGTTGTGCTCGATAGCCTTTCAGTTTGTATGGATCTTCTTGTCAAAAATGATGATCTGCTTTTATTTCCATAACCAAGATGTATCGGCTCATCTCCACAAGATATACCGAAGATGGACTTGATGTCTTCTGTTGTTAGCTTTACAGTTTCTGGTCCTAACTGGAAAGAACCACTGCTGCCTGGCTGGTATGTTTGAATTATTTTCAATGCAACATCATCATATTTTCTGCATTGTTTGTAATTCAGCTTGTTTTGCAATATTGCATCAAACAATGCCCAAAATGGGGTTTTCTTCAAGCCATTAATATGCTCATTCCTTAGTTTGATGTGATGTAGTAGCTTCATTATTGTCCCAATGTTTGATCTGAAAGTTTATCTCCATTCTCTACGCTTTCCCTTTTATTTTTTATCCGTTGAAGTTGATTTTTTATGCTTTCTTATCATTTTCTTTGCATTACTTTTTAGTCTTGGGGTTTTCATGAGTTGCTTTCCTGTACGGAAAATCAACATAGACAAGATAGAAATACTAAGAATGTGCCCTAAAAGAATCAATCCAATGTCATTCTCATGAAGTCTAAATTTGATGACATTCATGGCTATAAAAATAAAATCAACATTGAAAGTTAAATTGAAAGGAAGAGAAGATTATTAACTAGGGTTTTTCACTCAAATTGATTCAGAATATGAGAACATTCATAGCAATCGCAGCAAAAATCAACATTGAAACTTAAATTGGAAGCAAGAGAACATGATTAACTAGGGTTTTCAGTCTAATTGATTGAAAACTTGAGAAAATTCACAATAATCATGTCAAAGTCAATGTTGAAACGTAAATTGAAATCAAGAGAATATGATTAAGTCCGGGTTTTCACTTAAATTGACTAAGAATCTGAGAATATTAACAATAATCGTATGAAAATCAACATTGAAACTCAAATTGAAACCAAGAGGATATGGTTCACTAAGGTTTTTTACTCAAATTTTCTAAGAATTTGAGAACATTCACAAGAATTGTACGGAAATCAACATTGAAAGCTAAATTGAAACTAGAGAATATGATTCACTAAGGTTTTTTATTCAAATTGTCTAAGAATTTGAGAACATTCACAGGAATCGTGCCAAAATCAACAATGAAAGCTAAATTGAAACCAAAAGAATATGATTAACTAAGGTTTTTCACTCAAATTGATTGAAAATATGAGAACATTGACAGTAATGGTACCATACTCAACATTGAAACCTAAATTGAAAGCAATAGGATATGATTAACTATGGTTTTTTATTCAAATTGATTCAAATTGAAACCTAAATTGAAACCAACAGAATATGATTCACTAAGGTTTTTTTACTCAATTTGTCTAAGAATCTGAGAACATTCACAGCAATCACACCAAAATCAACAATGAAAGCTAAATTGAAACCAATAGAATATGATTAACTAAGGTTTTTCACTGAAATTGATTGAAAATATGAGAACATTGACAGCAATGGTACCACACTCAACATCGAAACTTAAATTTAAAGGAATGAGATATGATTAAGTAGGGTTTTTCACTCAAATTGATTCAGAATATGAGAACATTCACAGCAATAGCAGCAAAATCAATATTGAAACTTAGATTGGAAGCAAGAGAACATGATTAACTAGGATTTTCAGTCAAATTGATTGAAAACTTGAGAAAATTCACAACAATCATGTCAAACTCAATATTGAAACTTAAATTGAAAAATAAGGATTAAGTCCGGGTTTTCACTCAAATTGACTAAGAATCTAAGAACATTAACAACAATCGTACGAAAATCAACATTAAAACCCAAATTCAAACCAAGAGAACATGATTCACTAAGGTTTTTTACTCAAATCGTCTAAGAATCTGAGAACATTCACAGGAATCATACCAAAATCAACATTGAAAGCTAAATTTAAACCAGAGAATAAGATTCACTAAGGTTTTTTACTCAAATTGTCTAAGAATTTGAGAACATTCACAGGAATCGTGCCAAAATCAACATTGAAAGCCAAATTGAAACCAGAGAATAAGATTCACTAAGGTTTTTTACTCAAATTGTCTAAGAATCTGAGAACATTCACAAAAATCATACCAAAATCAACATTGAAAGCTAAATTGAAACCAAAGAATAAGATTCACTAAGGTTTTTTGTTAGATAATGTCTCAATGGGACCACATAATTAAATGTGGTGTTATCATTTATAAGAAGCCTACAATTTAAGTGATTCAATTTAGTTAATAGGCTTAAGGGTATATGTGTTATGGACCTAATGTGTAGATACTAGTTGTATAATTTCTATTTCTATGAGGGGCAGAAATAGAAATTAAAACATAATGGTTAAAGTTGGTTTTCATTCCTTTTCAACTTCCACAACCTTTCAGTTTTGAAAACCAATAAATAGAAATTAAAACCAATAATGGTTAAAGTTGGTTTTCATTCCTTTTAAACTTCCACAACCTTTCAGTTTTGAAAACCAATAAATAGAAATTAAAACCAATAATGGTTAAAGTTGGTTTTCATTCCTTTTAAACTTCCACAACCTTTCAGTTTTGAAAACCAATAAATAGAAATTAAAACCAATAATGGTTAAAGTTGGTTTTCATTCCTTTTAAACTTCCACAACCTTTCAGTTTTGAAAACCAATAAATAGAAATTAAAACCAATAATGGTTAAAGTTGGTTTTCATTCCTTTTAAACTTCCACAACCTTTCAGTTTTGAAAACCAATAAATAGAAATTAAAACCAATAATGGTTAAAGTTGGTTTTCATTCCTTTTAAACTTCCACAACCTTTCAGTTTTGAAAACCAATAAATAGAAATTAAAACCAATAATGGTTAAAGTTGGTTTTCATTCCTTTTAAACTTCCACAACCTTTCAGTTTTGAAAACCAATAAATAGAAATTAAAACCAATAATGGTTAAAGTTGGTTTTCATTCCTTTTAAACTTCCACAACCTTTCAGTTTTGAAAACCAATAAATAGAAATTAAAACCAATAATGGTTAAAGTTGGTTTTCATTCCTTTTAAACTTCCACAACCTTTCAGTTTTGAAAACCAATAAATAGAAATTAAAACCAATAATGGTTAAAGTTGGTTTTCATTCCTTTTAAACTTCCACAACCTTTCAGTTTTGAAAACCAATAAATAGAAATTAAAACCAATAATGGTTAAAGTTGGTTTTCATTCCTTTTAAACTTCCACAACCTTTCAGTTTTGAAAACCAATAAATAGAAATTAAAACCAATAATGGTTAAAGTTGGTTTTCATTCCTTTTAAACTTCCACAACCTTTCAGTTTTGAAAACCAATAAATAGAAATTAAAACCAATAATGGTTAAAGTTGGTTTTCATTCCTTTTAAACTTCCACAACCTTTCAGTTTTGAAAACCAATAAATAGAAATTAAAACCAATAATGGTTAAAGTTGGTTTTCATTCCTTTTAAACTTCCACAACCTTTCAGTTTTGAAAACCAATAAATAGAAATTAAAACCAATAATGGTTAAAGTTGGTTTTCATTCCTTTTAAACTTCCACAACCTTTCAGTTTTGAAAACCAATAAATAGAAATTAAAACCAATAATGGTTAAAGTTGGTTTTCATTCCTTTTAAACTTCCACAACCTTTCAGTTTTGAAAACCAATAAATAGAAATTAAAACCAATAATGGTTAAAGTTGGTTTTCATTCCTTTTAAACTTCCACAACCTTTCAGTTTTGAAAACCAATAAATAGAAATTAAAACCAATAATGGTTAAAGTTGGTTTTCATTCGTGCAAAACTAAGGTAAGGGTAAGGGGGTCCTGTTCCGACGGAGAGGTGTTGTCGTAATAAATGCTTGCCTCAAAGGTCATGGAGGTGGTGCCAGTGGTGGCGGCGATCGCCGTAGGGGGCGCAAAGGTCGTCCCCGAAAGGCAAGTGGAGGATGAGGCTGTTGGCCCTGGGCCAAGGAGGGAGGGACAGCATCAGGGGGGTCTTGTACCTCAAGAAGGAGGAGTCGGTAGGACCGCAGGGCGGCTGGAGGGAGAAGAAGGCCCAGCCAGAGCAGGGGCAGATCACCTTGTAGGGATTGTAGAAGAGGCAGCCTTGCGCTCGGCCTCCAGATTCAACGAGGCTGAGCTGCTAAGGGGGTTATACTTCGCTCAAAT